TCAAAAGGGCAAAACACGTTTCCCATCTCATGTTCTGTGGCCTCAATGGCCCAGTGTTATACAGTAATGTGACGTTGAGAGACAAGAAAGAAAACGACTGGTACTACTCATCCTCGTTACCCAAAGACTCAAAGTGCACTTCTCCGGTGATGCCGGACTCTGCGTGGGGCTTTAGGAACTTAACAGGGGTTTCCCACCGACGAAAGACCAGCGACGCTCCTTTACAAACAGTCACAGTCGCGGGATTAAGGTTAATAAATAATACAATAGCTTTTGGATCATAATTAATTTATGCTGGACGGTATGCATGCCAGTAGTAGATCAACGCACAATGTGATTCAAGACTCCGCATCTGGCAACTGTAGACTATCTTCTGGCCCCTTGTAATTCCCGTACGTGTAAACGGCGGGACATCTTGTAAACCGAGAAACTCTATTGATGGATTCCCCTCACCTTTTCACTTGACTTTCACAAGGCCTTAGGACTATCCTAGTCACTCTCGCTATGCGTAATGACAGACTTCAAATGGGTAGTTCTACGAATATATAAAGCAGTCTTAACTTGTCAACACATCCACAAATTACAAGCCTCGAACACCTACAACAACCACAACCACATCAACTGAGACATTTCAAGCAAGAACGACAAAATGAAGCTTCAAACCGCTCTCGCCCTCCTCTTTGTCTCCGTGGCTATTGCGGTTCCAGGCCAAGGCCAAGCGGGTAGCAATGTGCTTGCCCGTAACCCTCAGAGGGGTCCTGTGCGCCCATCTGGAAACTGCTGCTCGTACATCCCCGGCACTTGCAATTGCGGTTGCGTAAGTACTCCCACGACTTTGCACAACAGCGATCATCGTATGCTAATTCCAGTGTAACAGTGCTCAGGTGTATGTGTTGCGTTTAGGAGGCAGCTGTCTCGCACTCCTTCTCTTCCTTTTCCTTCCTCAGTTTCGTTCAAGAAGACTAATATATATACACTCAGGGTCCTTGCGCCACCAACGACGATCCCAATGCTACCTGCCCTTAGACTGAAGACGTTTTGATTCCCCTGTCCTATTGAATGGGTGAATAGCTCACTGAGCCTTTGCCTGGATGGGGCTTGCATGGAAACTGGGTAGTGGTTGGCAAAATTGCAAGAGCGAAGGTTCTATTTTGTGTCTTTGTGTTTTTGCCTCACTTGGGCATGCGTGGTGGAGGCGGCAAGAGAGTCAATGCACAGTCTTTTTGAGGATCATCTAGCGTTAGCATTCAGCACAATTGCCTACCAACGGCTCAAACATGAGAATAAACCTTTAGCCTCTCAATTCTGTCATACATATCTCCACACATCATGCCTCCGAGACATCGTCGGCCGTTATGAGGCGACCAAAGCTTATCGCATCAATGGCCTAGAGAGTCGGCATCTAGGCCTGGGTTAGGTAAGGTCCATCATTCCCCATGTCCGCAACAGCAACACAGTCACATCCCCCTTAGTTTCCCTCATGCCTTGCGCCAACAAGCAATCAAGGCGGCAAAACTGTCATGGTGACTTAAAATCCATGGTAGCTTCCCTCCGTATCGAGAAAACGCGCTTGATTTTATGAGCTTGGGAGAGGTACTCCGTACATATCAGTCCTTGCGGCCTTGGAAGTCCAGCAAACCTTACTTGCGCCACAATGCTGCCAGACGAAGACATCAACGGGCGAGAAACAAGTGCTGCCAGCATTATGTTGCTTGCAAAGCCCACTTGACTCATCACCGCCAACCCATCCTTCGTCAGTAGCACCGTTCACTGTTCCTTCGATAGCGTGATACTATCTGGAATTAGTAGAGTACTGGTATTCGAGGATGAACGCTTACGTATGAGCCATCGTGGGGGGCATTGTGGAGTCCGATGTTCCACCAAGCTTCACCTATTGGAGACTATAAGAGAAGATCTGAATTCCCACACAACTTGTTGACTCACTATACACAAATCGTCCATCAGAAGCGTTGACAACAGCCTTTGTGGCTTCATCGTCAATTATCATGCCTGCAGGAGGCTGATCTCTGACACAGGCGCAGAGACGGTGCTTATCAGCATTGGCAACAACCGCCCTGCTTGAGACTTAGTATTCGGTCATTTAGAAACAGGAACGCTACCATACATCATGAGGACTGCCAGGAAGCCAAAGGTCTTTGTCATTGTTAAGTTCGAGTTTGAACAGAAAGGACTGTATGTGTGAAGACGGCGAAAAGAGATGGTTCGATTGTTACATGACACCGATCGAGGTAAAGGAGACCCATCGAGCTTTAAATGTTTATTAGGAGCACTCTGTATCGCAGAAAACCAGTCAAATCAGTACTCCTTTCTCCGGCAACCGTCAATCGGTCTGCCCGATATCCCGCCGGCTGCTGCAGGGCTCCGAAGCCCCTGGGCCGGGCTGGGCTAAGTATCATAATGATTGGCTCTACAAAGTAGTCTTCTTTCGACCAACGAGAACATCCAAGCACTTTAGAATCAGGGTAAAACTGGGTCATATCGTGGTTAAGACCTTATTGTGTCTTGTGGCAGCCGGTGGGATACAAGCAGATGCCACGGCACCATCAAAACGGCCGATCCGATGGTTCTATCTCACACTTACCGAAGCAGTTTTGGGAGCAAATGAAGTTCATGTCATCTCTCCAACCAAAGCAGCCCCCCGTATGTGTACTGCTGGCTTGGAGTTTGCGATCAAAAAACACATCAAAATAGCCAGGGGTCGCTCAATCCTTACAGGTACTTGAGATATTCGAGTCAAGAGCAGTGAGAAAGGGTAGTGGGGCAATACCGAGCGTATTCCTGGCCGGCGATCACTGCACTATTCAAACTGCGCCCGTGCTATGCCCCTGTGTTGTCACGCAGCGCAGCAGCGCAGAGAAATGCTCGATGACCGACCGACGCAGCTCTTCTGTGTTGGTGCTGAATCCCGAAAAACTGAACATAATGTCCAGCCCAGCTCTAGCAGTGCTTACTCTGCTCATCATCGTGTGCTCACTAAGGAACCAAATAGATAGTCAGTCGATCAGCCCTGCCAGAGGTACAACATGATTTCAAGAACATGCGGGCAGCCCCGCGGAAAGGTTTGCCCACGTTGTCACAGTTTGAAACCGTTGAAAGCGCTGAAAATCACGTTTCAATAGCAGGGGAAACTTTCAATGGGGGTTGATTGACCGGGCTACACGAGAGCCACATCATCTTCGGTCATTGAAAACCTGCAAGATAGGTTTTGAGATATGATGGAAACACAATGAGAAAGGGCTAGTGAGAAACGGGAAGAGTGGAGGAGATGAGTCAATGATGGGGAAGAACTTACAGCCGGTGATGTATGATGTGACGTTTGCGCCAAAAGATCTGAAGGCAGCGATTGAGAGGCTCTGGAAGGTGGAGCACTTTTCCAAGATTATTCTCGAGGACTGAGGTCCATTCTTCCGGCTTCAATACATGTACTTTCGACTCACATGCTGTAGGGACATCAAACTTTTGACTCGGCCCGCACTTTTGCTGTCAGCCTTCAGATGAATTCTGAAAAACCTGAACGCAATACCGAGGATCCTCAACGCTTGGGGTATGCTGATACATCCCTTTAACCCGGCTCTGGCATAACCGGCGTAATTGGCGTAACTGGCGTAACCATGTCAGTCTCACCCTCTCTTTACCCCGCCTTCCATAGCAAGAATATGTATTATTTATATCTAGCCAGGTATTCGGAGTAAAACAGGAGCATAATTGAACTTACCACAGCTACCTGATTGTGCATTTGCTCCAATGGCCTCCGCGACGCGTCTTCCTCATATCCCATCCGTTGGCATTGTCGTCCCAGCGTCGCAAATATGCCAAAAGGCATGTGACTTCTGCAAAGAAAACTGCGACACAGCTGTTCTCAATCACGCGGTTCGTGCGGCCTACTGGTCGCTAATTATCTCGCAGAAGCACCCAAACTTCACAGGTGCGGAAATTGACATGGAAGTCGTCGTCTTGAGTTGCATTCTGCACGACATGGGATGGTCGGAGACGCCAGAACACCGCTCTGCAGACAAAAGATTCGAGGTGGATGGAGCCAACGTTGCCCCACGAGTTTATTAGAGATCAGGATACTGGCACAGAAGGTCCATGGACTGAAGCCAGAATTCAGCGATCTTGGGACGCGATTGCATTGCGCGCAACGCCGTCTATTGCACGACATGCTGCGAAAGAGGTTGCACTGGTGCAGATGGGTGTGCTGGCGGACTTCTTCGGGCCGGGGACTCATGAAGTGGCCGGCGGTCCAGAAGATCTGATCACTGTGGATGAGCATCATGCCGTGATGCGGGTGTTTCCGAGGGCCGGATTTGACGGACAAGGCATGAGGAAAATACTGTGCCATCTTTGCCGTACGAAGGCCGAAACCACGTTTGATAATTGGGTAGGTGATTTTGGGCTTACCTATGGGACGGATGGGGAAGGGGAGAACCTGGAAGAGTACAAGCAGGGGTGGGAGAAGGCACGGTCGGCCTCCATGTTGACGAGCGCCTTGGAGTCCTTAGTGGCCCTCGATAGGCAAGACTAGAGTACAACGAAGAAGGCTCTCCAACTCGGAAGCCAGATGTGTATGTGCAAGGCGGTATCTGTATGTTCCTGCGATCAAGAAGAGTAGACTTCAGCGAGACTTTCGAAATTCCATGTCGTTCGTGTCGTCCCTGTCGCCTCCAGCTAGTCCTGGCCATCTGATGCTGTCAATGCGATGGACAGTTATTTCCGTGGGTATCAAGGCATATGCGGTTGGCAGCGATTACAGGTTGGAAGACATCCTTGAAATTCTACGGACTGCAGCGCCTGAACATCTAAACACTTGTCATCGTTGTGATCAAAATGGAAAATAATCGTACACTCAATGTATATCAAAGGACGCCTCAGCAGATCAGGCCACTTCAAACTGTTCCGAATTCAATTCTTCTCTGGTGATCTTATGAGATGAAGTGATTGTGCCAGATCTATAAAACTTGCCAGCTTGACAAGATATTCTAGTACTTCAACTTGGTCACAAGCTTTCCTGTGTTTCCTCCCGAATACAGCATCATCCAAGTGCGAGGTATATCTTCAAAAGCTGCCTCAACAACCATCTCACTCTCATCGGCAATGACAATTGTTCCCTTCTTCCACTCATCGAGAAGAATGGCTCGAACCTCGGGCAGATGCTCAAACCAGTCGAGGACAATGAATCCCGTGATTTGCAGACGCATTGCAATGACTTGCTGTAGTTGGGTCAGTACGAGAAGTCAGTTCATAGGGGATGATACACGTACGAAATAGTTCTTCAAACCAACGGCATTGCCGTCACGATTGTAGTTGGAAATAGATCCGCTGGGATGATAAGTTAGACTTCGAGGTGAAGTAAGAAAGTTATTATGCCGTTGTGACAACTCACCAAGCTGCGACTCGGCCGAATTTGGCCAGCCTGGTTAGCATAAAGTCTAGAATCTCGCCGCCAACGTTGTCTGGACTCAAATTAGTTACGAGATCTGCAAGCCTTAAATAAAAACTAGCAACATACCGAAGTAGATTTCAACAAAACCCTCAGTCTCTTTCGTGAGCTGCTGCTTGAAGGCGTCGGACTTGTAGTTCAGGCAGATGTCGGCCCCGAGCTTCTCGACCCAGCGACACTTGTCATCGCTGCCCGCAATTCCAATCACCTGTGGAACACGAAAAGCAAAGTCAATCGCTATATACCGATTATGAAAATAGAGCATGGCGAAACATACTTTGCGACATCCGATCATCTTCTTCGCAATTTGAACCGCCATCGTACCCACGGCGCCGGCCGCGCCGCTGATGACAATCGCCTCTCCCTTCTTGGCCTTCACAATTTGCGTAAGGGCGTAGTACGCCGTATGTCCAGGCAGACCCAGCGCGCCAAGGAAGTGTGTGATAGGTAGATCATGCTGGGGTTCAATGATCGCAACATTCTTGGCGTCGTCGATTGAGTATTCGGTCCAGCCAGGGGTACCGGATACCAGGCTCCCCACAGGAACATCGGAGCTACGAGATTCGACAACCTCTGCGATGCCCATGGACTTCATGACTGCGCCAACATCCACAGGCGGAAGGTAAAGACGCTCTGGACTGGCGAAAGGGGAGATCCAGGTACGTTGAGCAGGGTCATTGCTGAGGTATTGAGTTCTTAGAAGAACCTGACCATCCTTGAGAGGGGGAATATCGGCTTGGGACAGGACAAAGGTTGACTTGTCTCCTTCTAGAATCGGTTCGCCGAAGGGCTTCTCACGCAGAAGCCACTGCTTTGATGCTCGTGGGACGCCCATGCCGAGTTTGATGTGACTTCCAAGGAAACGTAGCTGATGACTATCAAGAATACTATGTTGAGGGCACCAGAGAGCCGGGCAGAATATATAGTTCTCGCAGCGAGTGCTTTGTCATGTAGCACGACAACGCTTCACAACTGATCGCTGAAACTACGATTAACTTGCAATTGTATGACGACAGTATGGACATCTACCCAGTTTTCTCCTGCTTCTGGGGTGGCGGACTTGTCTCATTGGCTCTGGACGAAGCCATGCATAGCCGAGCACGACCCAATTGGTTCACTCACAGCAGACACTGCTGGCAGCCGGTGGGATAAGAACAACCAAATCCAACGAATTAAGTGGGAAATTGGATGAATAATCTCAATCCACGGAAGATAATTTCCACATAGCGCCCCGCTAACATACGATCGAGGTCCATTACTCCAGTCATTAATAATGCTGTGCTGTTGCCCTCACCATGGCCAATTCCCAGGAGATATACCAATTGCATGAAACTATAGTCACATCCTCCAGTGAATACAAAGAAATTGGTTAATAGTGTGTACCAGTTGCGCATTGCAAAGCCCAGAGCAAATAAAGAGATTCCTTGCGCATGACACGGTTAATATTTAGCTCCTCAACCAGATAAATCACCACGTGTTGACAATTGACCCTTGCCGATTTCTTTTTCTTGCCCAGAGGTCTATCTTTCCTGGCGCTACTGTTGTTTGAGCAGGCAATAGTGAAAAAGATTTGGGATCGATGTTGGGCTTGCAAGTTACTGCTAGAAAATATAAGATGACCATGAAGGCTCGAGAGTCGTTGGGCAGACCGTTCAGCCGTGAATGCACCACCCAGTCACAGTATGAAATTCAGTCTAGGGAAGGTAGCATGCTGTTGTATGTAGTCGAATGTTGAGAGCGGAGGTTGCAACCCCGATACAAGATACTCTCTTCCGTCGAACGGAAAGTGGGGGAAGTTTCAAACACAATGTTGTGGTTCACGTAGAATGTAAACTTTACATTCCGAAAGCGAGACCGAGGCTTATGTCCGTAAATTTCTACACCATTGGTCAGGTGAAGTGTAGAAAATGTAGATTGAGTGATGGTTGGGTTCGTGAAGCTTAGTGTCCACCCATCCGGCTGTAGCCAAGATTGGTTGTAGTAGGCGGCCCCACGCGGAGCCGACTGCGGCAACATCGCCGGTTGACACCGAGATTGCGTGCTGGTCATCTTTACTGGGACTAGAAACCCTTAGCATAAGAACAGAATGTTAACTCTGTACTAAGATTGACCACCCTCAAATCTACGCGCCAATCCAAAAGTATCATGGCTTCTGTAAGCACAGGCATTATCAATTTCGAAGGTATGTAACGGCTTGATTGCCAGTAGATATTTGGTGCTTGGATTATTCAGATGCATTTTTACAGACTACCTCGGTGTTTCGGCGGCTCTTTTCGAGTGGGCAGAAAGCTATGATACCAAAGATTGGAACCGTCTGCGAAAATGCGTCACTCCTGAATTGCGAGTAAGTTTCCCGCTCTGCTCGACTGACTCAGAACAAATCCATTACATTTACGATATCGTACTCAGGGGCCAAAGTGAAAGACACTAACAGACCGCCTTTAAAACAGATAGATTATCGAGACGTGTTAGGAAAGCTGTGGGAATCTATGCCGGCCGCAGACTATGTTGCCATGATTTCTAGCCCGGCAGTCCTAGGAAACCCGCTTTTGAGGACACAACACTTTGTTGGTGCCACGAAGTGGGAAAAGATCTCTGACACAGAGATCCTTGGACACCATCAGCTACGTGTTCCCCATATCAAGCTTTCTGATGCGAGCCCGCCGGTGGAGGAGAAGAAAGGTCACGCCCACAGCTACAATCAGCATTGGTATCGAAAGATAGACGGTGTTTGGAAGTTTGCTGGTCTGCGCCCGGAAGTGAGATTCGGCGAGTACGACATGGAAGGCATTTTTGAAAGCGGGCGGCAGTCGGTAACTTCAGCGTAGACTCAATTAGCTATACAAATCTTCTAGAGGCAGGACAATGGAAACGATAAACATCTAAGCTAAACCAATTCTGATTGACTTTGCCATGCATTTATTTTCACGGCCTACGGAGAGTCTGAAAACAAGTGCCCCGCTCGAATAGAACTAGAGAACAATTAGTACTAGGTAGGACTACAAGAGAGGGAGAGGGAGGGAGGGAGTTGGTGACAAGGATGGCCTACCGGAGAAGACCGGAGACCCTTAGAACTATACTCAGTCTATCAAGCACAAGGCTCTGTCTGTGGTATGAACAAGTGGATTAATCATTCGTATTCAACTGCGGACGATCCGCCAGTCGTAGATGATCACAGTCCAAAGGGAACACAACACGGTTGCAAATAAGGAATTACAAGATACATGTTTTACTTTTGACGGCTGAAGGCACCTAGTTAAAGGTAGACAAGCTTTTTGTAAGAAGAAATGAAGAGACGGCGCTGACAATAGCAATTCAAGACTCCGCTCGCTTGGGCAGAAATACTCCCCCATTCAAGCGGCAGAACTCTCCTTCTGCTCCCCAAGCAATCACCGCACCATACTTGAGCATTGTTGAGAACGGATTAGGATTTTATTGAGCGGCCATGGAATTGTATCTTAATACCTCGCAGGTTCGGGCGCTACCAACTTCCCGGATGCCGGGTCTAGAAATTGCAGTTTTCGCCTACCTTAAGTCCCCGGATTCATGACTCGACAACTTGAAAAACTCACGCGAAAAACAAACATGATTCGTCTGCACGTCTCATCTTGATGCAAGTCTCCAAAACTCGCCTTGTAAAGCCCTTGCATTCTCCCACTCATCATACTTTAATTCCTAAAGACACGGAGCTATCCAGATTCCCAATGGGCGGGTAGCGAGTAGAACCCGGCGACTGTAGCTACGGTGGAGAATCCTATTCGGCACCGACAGACAAGCCTTCAGACGAAGGCTAGATTAAGGTTCTCCCCCTTTATTTGTCGCAATAAAGTCCGGGTATCACATCGGTGGGGTTAGAGCGACGAACTGGTATATCTTCCACCAACCTCTCCATTCGAGGCTGCCGGTGGGATGTTGTTTTGATCAGTCATTCATTCGTTTTCACATTCACTTCAGTCACTCTCTTTGATTATCATCGTCATGATTTTGCCCCATCTCGCTGTGCGTGCACTCTCTGCATCTGTGCAGTGCCCAGTCGTCCTAGACGGACGCATCTCGCAAAACTTCACCCTCGAAAACTTCGACACGAACGCTTCTCCTTACAACCCAGGCTTCACTAAGGGCTCCGACCCTTGGTCCAAGATCATTCTCTTCCCCGCTGTTCCGACCCCATCCCGCTTCGATGCAGCCGCCTCCGCCAATGCCACCGGTGGAAGTGGGTTCAAGCCCCTGGAGGTGACGATCAATGACCGCTCCATTTTCAACCCCCCACCCGGCAAGAACCCACAGCTCGGCTTCCGCCGAGCGGGTCTCCTGCTTGGCAACGGCTCCGATGCGTCCAACCAGGGCGTCATGACGTTTCACTGGTCTGCGATGCAAGACTCGGCACGCAAGCTTAACCTTACACACGAGTATCTCACCTCCTTCCACGAAACAAACGACTCCGGCGGTGCCCAGTTTGCGTTGCAGCTCGGATTACCATTGGGTCAGAATGGCACGGAGCCGCCGAAGGAGAACTGGAAGATGTTGGATCGGAACAACAGCGTCGTGTTTACGACGCCGTTGAAGTTTGATACATGGCAGAATTGGGCCGTCACGCTTGATGTGCCACAGAAGTAAGTGCATGCTATCAAGTGGACGTGTGGACGGCATGACTTACTGTATCGTAGCACCATGCAAGTCTTCTTTTCCGAGGGAAACGAGGCACTAAAGGCCGTCACCAAGGTCCTCCCGAACAACAATGCTGGAGGTGGTGCGTTGCAAATTGGCATGTTGAAGAAGCCGACCGAGACGAAGACTGTTGCAAACGACGGATTTCAGGAAAGCAATCTCAACGAAGGACAAATTCTGGGCGGCGTTTTCGTTGAAAACAGTGCGAACGGCTGCATCTCCTTGTGATATGGAAGTACTGGATGGGAAGGTTGTTGGGGGCCAGTGCGAACGAGTCGAAATGCGGTTTGTCGCATCGTCAATGAACAGATAGATTCCTGTGTATGGTACTCATTCCCGAATAACTCCGGGGAGGATGGGGCCTCGAAAAGTCGAGGGAGAATGCCAGTGTGCACATGCGCACGTGTTTCCCTGGCCGCGCATTCGGCCGCATGCATAGCCTCCAGCCCCTCTTATTTTCTTTCGCTTTCTCCTGCATGTAGTCCACTTAAACCAGGTAGGAAAAGCAAAACTTCACCGTTCGGGCGTTCGTAGTTATATGTGGCCAGTCATTGAAGAACGTTTTGAAACGTTGGTTGACAGGAGTCTCCGAGACATTTCACCACATCACCTGTCTTGGCTTTCTATCACCTGATTCCCCTGAAATTCTTCCATTGTCTCGCGCAACCTTCGCCCAAAAGTTGGGAAGTGTCATTTGCGATGATGGCTGGCGTATGCTGTACGACGTGAAGATGGCTAGCATTGAATACTTGATTCTCAATTCTTCTCGGTGGACTATTAGGTAGATGGTAGTAGTCAGATGGCCTGTCTGTCATTCACCTACGGTGGTTCTTGAATGTCTCGCTAACAGGCAATGCCAAGCAATCCTTGGAATATTCGTATTCAGTCTTGGGAATGGTCTAACAGCGTGCCCAACATGACCAGATGAGTGAGGCTTTTGCTACTTAGACGGATAAGCCTAGCTCAGCGGGCGGGGCGATATCTGCATCAAATACTGTTGCATTCTATTATCCATTGACGCAATTCCTGTCAATTGAACAGTCGTTTTTCTCGTCGGTTCTGTTGTCTCGATACTCATTTATGCGTCCTTACTAACCCGGACTGTCCGCGCACGATATTTGCTCCATCGAGGAAGCCCATACTTGGCGATTGAGAGGACCTTTTAGCCATTGATCCCACCGGCAGCAGACGCCCCCGGGAAATGAGAATTGGATAGAACATCGTAGAAGGGCTGGGGCAGCCTGGCTGATCGGTAAGCCATAGTGATCTGAGACTTGGGAAAAGCAAATCGATTGCTAGCGCTGACAATCAAGCTGGCCATGTCACATCACCATTAGAGCCCAACCAGTGGTCTGAAAAAATAGAAGTGCCTTGCTCAGCATACCGAGGTAGGTCAAAATCCAGCGCCAAGAGAACGTTAGCTTCATCATCAGCGGGGAATTTGGTTGATTCAACCTAACACCACGAGAGTCGTGGATGCCCGATGACAACCTCGACACCCCAATAGGGCCTGTAGGGATTGTCGGTGATGATTCTTGTTCTGACACCATACCGAGACTACTGGAAATAGCATGATCTACCCCTGGGATTAAGATGATCATTAAGTCACGGAGGGTGGTATGCGTATCTGCCGGGCCGTAGATTGACGACGTGTTTATGCCGACCGAGGTAAAATTCCGAAGCTACCCCGTTTTGTCGACAATGATTCAGAAACCATGACGATAGTCCAATATCTTTCATCAAAAATTCCATAGGTATCGCAAATGAAACGACCGATTGATTGAGTGAGGTCTTTCATGTCTGTCCAGATGACATCTAGTTCATCATTGTACTTCGAGGTGCCGCCACAAAAGGACAAGATCCTTGCGTAGATGCTCAGTTCAGGAGACATGTCGAAAAATATTAGATGCGATTGGCGCCCACCAAATCCTAAGGATTGATCCTTCCCGGCATCCTCCTTACAAGGTACCAACACAACGGCGCCGGGAGGACCCATCACCACGGTCCAGGCCAATCTAATCTAGACGGCCGGTACATTCCCCAGTCTTTTTGTTGATTATTCGGTTAACTCGGACGTCCCCCCTACGAGGAGGGCCTTCCCAGGGCGGTCATCCCCACGTCTCCCCAGAGCTGGTGAGTCTTCTATAATGGATGGGCCGTTTCTGAGGTCATGGGTGATCGCCATAAGAAACAACCTGCATATGGAGGGTACTCCTGAAATCCATGAGATGGTGCGACGGTGAGCACCGCGGCCAGCCAATCATTACGTCCGACGTTAGGTGGCGGCCAACGTCCAAGCGCCGTGCCACCGGGAATGTACATACGTCCGTCTATGCACGGCCTTGCCAATGTGATATGTCAGAGAGAGAGCAATGCACACGGGAAAGCCGTGTCAATCCGCACAGATGTTGCAAGACTTTCCTTTGATTAGATCCAAGCTCCAGGACAAGACATTCGTGTCTACAAGACGAAGCCACCAATCATCATGAAACGGCAGGTCGCAAGAAACAACGTTTTTGGATGAACTAAGCTCATCGCCCCAAACATGGGATGGCGTTCGTGGTGGCCGTGGAGATGGATCCTGTTTTCTTCATGGATATTTCGAGTCTTAAGCCTCGGTCGAGGGAAGGGTGTTTCGAGGTATAAGAGATGGACATAACGCCGCCTCATGTAGCTTTCCGGAGAGATCACCACCAACCACCCAGACTTCCAACCATTCAATCATTTACACTTCGGTGTTTGCACAATCTTTCGTTTCCAATTTCCACTCGCTGTCTGCCTTCGATCGCAAAAGTCACTTCGACTTCAGACAATCACGCTCTTTTGACAAGACATTCGCTTCAATACCACATCAAACACCACCAAGACCATCAAAATGAAGACCGCCGCCATCACCACCGCTCTCCTCGCTGCTCTCGCTGCGGCCAACCCCATCGAGGTCCGTCAGGCTTCTGGCTGCAAGGCCTTCACCCTCCTCTTTGCCCGCGGCACCACTGAAATGGGCACCCTCGGTTCCGTCGTCGGCCCCAGCCTCCAGACCAACACGCAGTCCGCGCTCGGTGCGGACCAGGTCACTGTCGAGGGTGTCTCCTACCCGGCCGATATGGGCGGAATTATGTCCGAATCCACCGGCTCCGGCCCCGGCAGCGTCGCCATGGCAAACCAGGCCAACTCTTGGCTCCAGAAGTGCCCCAGCACCAAGCTTATCCTCACCGGTTACAGCCAGGGCGGTATGGTCGTCCACAATGCCGCCAAGAAGCTCAGCGGCAAGCCCATCGTCGCTGCTGTGACCTTCGGAGACCCTTTCAAGGGTCAGGCTGTTAGCGGTGTTGCCACTGGCAAGTTCAAGAGCTTCTGCGCGACTGGCGACTCCGTCTGCTCCGCTGGCGGTTGCGCTAGCTCCGGAGGATGCACCAGTACCAGCGCTAGCGGGCACATTGGCTACGGCTCTGACACGAAGGCTGCTGCTGCCTTCATCAAGACTGCAGTTGCTTAAATGAAAGTCCGCGACAGGGTTTCAATGCCATGCAAACAGGAATCCTAGGAAAGGACGATAGAGGAAGCTGCTGGTTCTGCGGCGCGGATACACGACTGGATTGGAAGTCTGGGACATTCCTTATTTCGATTGTATGGCTTACCTTCTATGTACATTATGATCCATCAATAAAAACGGCTCTTCCCTGAGCAGTTTACAACCCCTAATTGACCTTGACCCCAGCTTTCTGCAAAGGCACTTCTTACTGTTGACTCAAAAGACTGCATGTATCCGCAAATTGAATGAGGATCATCAGTTTTTCTGTCTCATGCTATCCCTGTAGCATCTTCCGAGCATCTCGTCTAACTTCATTCGAAGCCGCAGACAGTCATTAGTCTGGCCAGCGGATATTGTATGACAAGGCCTGACGGAGAATTTGACTCAAAAGGGAAAGGGTTGATCGTGGCGTTTCCGGTAGCTCGATGGGTTCTAGACTAACGTTTCTAGAGCTCGTAGTGCGATCCGCGATGGATCGAAGGCCCTTCTGCACGGCCCTCGTGTAACCTCAGCTGTTGCTATTATCCAACTTGTGGCATAATTCATATCAATGAGGACTGGAAGCATTGTAGGCGCTTCATCCGATCAATGATGTCTCGAGGTAGAGTTTCATCCAACTTCAATTCGTATGCATTTTACAATCAGACGAGAAAAAGGCGGACTTGACCCCACGACTCTTCTGTCTTTGCGTAGTGGTTTTCAACTCCTGGTCTCCCCCATGGAAGCAGTACTCGTGGGATCGATGAAGACTTGACGCGGGATCCCGCCGCGCTTTATGAGTGGACGAATTGAGTCGAACGGCCGAGGGCTGTCTTCAAATCATTCCCATTTTCTACATATCACGGAACTGGTTGTCACCAAACCTTCCTCGTTCAACTGTAGCTGACAGGGTGGAAAACGTCCTACCGAGTGGGCGAAGTTAACCATTTGACCATTTGATGCATTCGTAACATTCCTTGGAAGAGTGCGTGATAACATTCTTTCGTCTCCTGCGATACTTCTGACAAACCGGTTCGCCGTTGCATAGGTAAGGTGGCCAGATCACCAATCACTACAGACTTTTGATAGTCAAGCTCAAATCCCTAGGTATTCGAGAGTATACTGATAATAGCGCAACAGCGCTCATGGTGACGAATGCAATGAAAGCGACGAGGACGGCTGACAAGATGACATACACAAGGACAACAGTGAAAGGGATAATACTGATGATAAACCCTTCTTTATTCTGATAGCTTTTAGGCCGCCCAGCTAACTAGACGTATGCTTGACAATTGATCAGAGTTCCCAGCAAATAGAAAACTGAACGCTATCAATTCGTTGTGGCATTTACTTTTCTTTCATTGAATGCGTTATTTCTGCGGGAAGCCGTAACACGAAGTTCAGTTCCGTAATTGATAGTCGCTGAACGGTGTCTACAAACTGTTGCTCCTAGGGCTTTCATCGTTATCCCTTCATAATCGGTTCAGTCATCCCATCTACATGAAGGGGGACTTTGCTGGGCGCGCAACATTGAAGACTGACTCTAACGGACGATCCCAATACCTCTGAGTAGCTCTTCACAATTTGAAGCGTTGAAAAGATGACCTATCATCAACGTCGTACTGCTTTTGTATCTTCATCTAAGATTTAAACGCTATGCGAACGTGAATAAAATGTACGTCGTCCATTCTAGTTCAGTAGGACATCAACCTCCCGGCCCTGCCCAATTAAGCTTCTTGAGAGCGGGAATTTCGTCGGGATGGGAGTTTGGCTTCCCAATATCAACCATTGAACTGAACACCCTTGCTCGCCTGGCCCGCATGTTGCTTGTCGGTGTTGGTGTTCTTGTCAAGCTTCGTCTGCTCTCCTGCGATGCGGGTATCAATGTTGGCCACATTTGCGCCCTGGGCCTTTTGGATCTGCAGGGATAGCAGGCCCAAGTAGTTCTTCAGGACCTTGTTCTTGATGAACCCGTTGGAAGCCTCCTGTGACTTGTCGTTTGCTGGGACGAATGCTAGGTTCTCAGCATCGCCTACCAGCTGTGCTGCTTTCTTGACAACTTGAAGGTCTGCTGCGGAGGCCGTCGCTGGGTCAACCTACGCCCTTTGGTTAGCATATGATCATAGGCTGTGCCTTCAAGGGCCAAAGAAACTACGGATGAACGTACAGGGAACTTGCCCTTAGCCTCGGCGGCAGCGTTGCCAGCTAAACCATCAGAAATCTGGATCTCGGCGTACGTACGATCCACCAGGGCCCTCTTGTCCAGTGCCACATCGACTTGAGGCGTAGCGGGCAGCGCCGCAGCCAGGGAAATGACGGCAGAAAGCAGCAGAACAGCAGTATTGGTGAAGTGCATCTTGATATGTGCGTCGAAGAGACAGGAACGGAAGGTCTGAGTGTAGATGAGGTGTGTGGGCCAGCCGAAGTAGCGTAAGCTCCTGAGCAAACGAAAGAATGGAATGGTAGAATAGAACTAAAGATTGAAACGAAAGATGGGATGATGAACAGTTGGCTGGCTGGTAAGAACGGAGAAAGATCAGATAACGAATGCACTAGGCCATATATACGTCAAAAGCTCTGGGTCGAGTCGGGCGCCCGGTGACTTTTCAGATCGCAGAAGCTGTTTTTAGGGGAGCGGCTGTCAGGGTGGCTTGGATTGTCAGAGGGGTTTGGGCTGTTCCAGGGTATCGCTCCATGTCACCCTCAGGGCCTGAAACCATCTCGATCATGAGGCTAGTCCCTATGGGGAAAGCGCTTCGGTACACATCCGCTGGGGCTTCAAGGCACCTGGACTTTCCAAATCGGCCTGAGCCGAGTGAGCAGCTTTATTCCTAAGTATTTAAGAGTCTGCAGTCACACAAAAAGAGGTGGAAAAACGCGATTCAGGACATGATGTTGAAGAAAGTATATTGGCAAATCTGAATGAACCGGCGGGATCTTATGGTCCCACATTTTCAAAGGTCAGACGCGGGTTGAGGACTCGCGAGAAGTTAGAATATTGAGCTATCAATGGTTTCTCATGTCAGTAGATATAACTTCAGCAGAAGTGATATCATCAAGGCTTCATCCTAGCTAGTCAGATACAATTGGATGGATTGCGATTAGCGGGCCAACAACTCAAATCTTCAAAAACCACCAACGCGCTTGTGGGGAGTTGCTACAGACTCCTCAGCTGCCGCTGAGCTTTTTTGGACCAATACTACCAGACGTGCAACTCACCTGCCTTAATACGATGAGAACCTCGCTTGACTCAAACGCGGGGCCAGAATTACGGGATGGCATATGCAATGGAACGATATCTGTCGCACCCCACAACCCCTGGCTACAATTGAGGCTGACTGAAACAAGCATGGTATCCGTACTTCTTCTCGGGGTTTGCACCTCACGACATGGTCTAGGAACTGCGGTTTTTAGCGCGAAAACTGCATCCCTCCAAAACCCCACAAAGGTATTTGACCTGGGCTACAGTTGCGACGAACCATGTGCTCTGGTGGTTGCAGGGACGGCGCCGATGCCGAGTTTTAGGCATGGCTCCGCTCTGCTGTGCTCTGGGAGAAAGGGCAGTGGGACACACTTTTCTGGCTGCAGCGGCGGCTTTCTGCCCACACCAAGTGTTCACAAAGTGTCATGTCGTCAAAGCTGTTACCTCAGAATATCGAAGGAGGCTTCATAGAGAAAATCGGACGAGTCTATGTGACTACTCAGCCTCTAACTAAAAGCGTCTGAAAACGTATGCACACACATTGTACTTTGCATCTTTTCAGGTACAAATGCTGCAGGTGAAACTATCTCGAAGACCAGAGTTCTGTGGCTACATCCTGATCTGTCATGCCACAGAGGGCTGGCCAACCCGAAGTCTTGGTGTTTTCAGTGGCGACGGCAAGCCTCAAGGGTTACCACCTTGAGGGATAAACTTTTGTTTCTATAAAATGCGCCATTCACTCTTCATCGAAGTCTTTTCGCCGGTGATTTTCTTCTTCGCCAGCAGGTTGTCCGGTCCAACATCTCGAGTCGCTTGAAAACTTGCATTGCATAATTGATCCTGCACCGCTGCAGCCAGCCAGTCGACGGGAGGAGTGATGATGGCCCCGAAGAGCCAATTCAAAGAAAAGAGCCAGCATGGCCGCCTTCGGGGATGCAAAAAAAGACCGTCATTGGCAGCAATTCCAAACGAGCTCCTTTTCGAAATATGTGGATACCTTTGTCTGCATTATCAACTCCCACACTTCATCAATGTCCCGCACACAACATGGGAAGAGGGACGCATCGGACAGAGTAGTCTCGGTAATCTTTCTCGTGCCTGCAGACAGTTGAGAGACATAGCACAGCCGATTCTGTTCCATTACTACTACAGCGGTGACGCTCTAAATAGTTCCCCAGGCGGCTTGGATCTTTCACGGTATATCAACTACAGCGAAATTATCGAAAACGGCAAAATGATTTCCTTCCTGTACAGCATCATTAGCCGACCTGGCCTGGCAAGTTCGGTCAAAGCATTAGCGTTGGTCGCCCAATTACCTCCCCATTCCACGGGCAATTCTACTGTTCCGGAATCGACACTCCAACTTTTTCGCGATGCAGCCGACACAATCGGCCTGGGAGAGGACAGCAGCGCCAAGACTTTTAAGTGGAAAGTTGCAAGCCTTCCTTATTCAATTGATGTTACAAGCATTTTCTGGCTGCAGGAGCTAGCGATAGGTCTTCTACCCTCCGTACGTCATCTTCTCGTCAAGAGATCTCAAGATCAAAGATATCAAGTTCTGCAACAGCCGTCGCGGTCTTTGCCAAACTTGAAGTATCTGGCATCACTGCCAACTTCTGTCCCCGATGGGATTGTTGATTGTGGTCTTGATCGTACAGATGGACTTTTACTGCGCGCATGCAGTTTGAAAGAACTGACGGTGTCCGATTATTACGTCCAAATCGTCCCGCCGGGTCCTCAACCGATACTTCTTCCCCCAAGACAAACGCTACGTAGCCTAGTGCTCAGCTCTGAAGATGCCTCATCATCTGAATGCGCATGCCCTGATCATGTTAGCAGATTCAGATGGCTTCAGACAGAGGACTACCGCGAGCTACGCGGGACGCGTATTTCTACATGTCTGACCTTTCGCAACTACTCTGTTCTCGAGTCACTCGAGATAGATCAAATACTTTTGGACGGTCACATTCCTGGGCCGCACACCGACTGGTTCACTCTGCCGGGCACGTACAATCCAATGACTGTTCTTTCAAAGTTACCGCGAGGTTTGAAAGTACTACGTGTCACAGCTGTCATATGTTGGCCTGTTATGAGGAAGGTGCTGGATGCACTGGTTCGAAAGGCTCCAGTCATGTTTGCGAGCTTACACGCAGTTGAAACTATCTCATACGTCTCAATATTTGATCACCAAGCATATCCCAAGCGCGGATCTCGCATGGCCGCTATCAAAGACAGATTTTCCGAGATCGGGGTTTCATTTACATTCAGATATAGCGCACCCAGAACCGAACTTCCTCCATGCAGAGCTCGTCAAAGGCATCCGTAGCAACAAGTAGGGGAAGGCAATAGTATACGTGGGATTCCAAATCTGTTTTCATGTAGAATCTTTCAGGATACAGTGGAACAGTACAGCTGATGGCTTCAAACGTTCTTGGTTGTGTTATCTTATTGTTTGGCGTCTCCAGTTCGAAATTCAGCAGTCATATGGACTAGATTTCCTAATTAATTGCTCATTTCCCTATCTGGGCAATGATACCGACTTATGTGATACGACAGATGCTTTCAGCTACAGACTCAAAAGCGTTTGTTCATGTTGCTTTACATGTACCTGTTCTACATGTCATCCTGGCCGGTTCTGATGGCAACACTCGCCATGTGATCTGATTCGTTCCGTTTACTGTGTATCTGTCGCCATCATGTTTCTCTTGCTCACATAATAATACACATAGTCTGCTGCCTTAGGTATATGATGTCTCACTGTTATCACGTCTGCATCTTACGAAAGCTCGAGATTTGCTTCTACGACGAAGCGACAGCCCTGAAGAACAGTCCAAGAAATTGCCCAAGCAAACCTATTTCTCATCACTAGGTCTAGACATCGCCTGTATTGTTTACTAGGTACAAGCTTGGTCAAATCCGATAGCGGGGGCAATAGATACTCCACACAAGGTTTCCGCTATAACTCAGAAGTAGTGCTTCGAGATACCTCCGCAAGTCATCAGAGAGGCTTTCATTGTTTCGTGCGGCCTTCACGGTATTCCAATAAGTCGACATAACTTTCATTGTCTCCTCGCGACAAATGTCCTTAGCGTCGTCGACGCCAATCCCCCGCTCATTCATTATAACCCAGATGGCGTTAAATACGTAGTCTTGTCCTTCTTCGGCAGCAGCATCACGCTCCTTTTCCCAAGAGTAGAGGTCATTGACAAGTCCAAGAGCGATGTATAAGGGTCGAGCCAACTCCATACACAGCTCGTACTCGTGGTCAGGGATGGTTATGGCCATACCAAAGGTGATTGTGCCGAACCAAAATCTAATTCACTATTAGGGACATCTCTTAGCTCTTGCATAAGACGGGGATACTCACAGTTCGCCCGCGTCAATGGCACGTGAGGGCATGTATTCTTCCAAAGTCCTTGGTGGAGCCTTTCTTGTGTTTGCGGCTAACTGAACAAACCTTGCCCAGGCAGTCATTGACGTTATTGCTCGCTGTCGGTCGATTTTCATCATGTCGAACAGCAGCTTTGCTTGCAATTGCTTCTCTGGCCTGGCGGTTGCAACCGAATTCGGATTCAGTGCCCCGTTACCAAACGTCGACAAGAAATCATTCGCATGGTCGTCTTTATCATTCTTCAAATTGAGCTTCTCCATTGCATCTAATGGATCACTATTAGCAAAACACCTCAAGTTGAGCACCATTTCGGAATACCGTCGTAAAGAAACGCATATTCGTTTGCGTAAGACATGATTTCGAGGCGATCTGGGAGGCATTCTGGAACGGTGACGGAGATAAAGCAGAAGTCATCCGCGAGGCCGCCTTGGTAACCTTCCACATTGCTGACTAGCTTGGTCCATTCTCGTTGGACGCGAAGAGCACCGTCAATTTCTCTGTACTGCTGCTTATGTTGGCGGAGAGAAATGCCGCAGTCGAGGCCATGGGTGTCGTAGGTGCCTCCCTCGACTTCTTTTGAGTACTTGAAAATCATCTCTCAAGTGTTTGCTACGAGAGGGAATGTAGATAAGCCAGGATCTATCACAGCGCTTTTGCCCACACCAGCCGGCAACATTCTTCTTTTAAGGATTCCATTATCAGTCACAACTCCGCCTCTCTCTCGCATTTTAAACATGTCATTATCTGGCCGGGGTTCTGCTTACTATGATCGATTATCAACCCTGAGGCTATTATCCGCTTTTCTCTGGCTGGCCCCTGTCTCTGGTGATCGAGTCCAATTGAATCTGTCCGCGGGGATATGACTAGGGGTACATTTGGCTAGTCCAACAAGGTTCGCTTGTAAGCGACCACTACAATTGGAAGCCTGGATGATCGCGACACCTCTTTTTCCCCACCACCACACGATTTATCGTCCTCGACCAGCAGCTCAAGAGAGGTTTTGTGTCAAGCCCTAGCTCCACGCAACAATATCATTCGCTGACGATCATTCAGAAGAGGTTCGCATACCTACTTTGGGGAGACCATGAAGTCCTGCTGCATTTGGGATTTACCCATGATCGTGACACTGTTGATGTTGATTGAGGGCGTAGTAGCAGCCGACAATCACTGCCTAAACAGGAATACGAATGGCGTTAGTTCTTACATCGAAACGAATCTTTCGAGCACTTGAGTCCGAGCTGAATCAGCAATGCATACATATGTAACATCAATGCAAAGACATCGGGTGCCTAAAGGATAACAAAAAGGCACAGCACAGCACATGGGAGCTTCTGAATGGGTTTCTTCCACGCCATTGGCATCCTCCCACGATCGACTGTTTATTAAGTCGGGCGAAGTACCAATGTTGTATCCAAATCCAGCCCAGTGCTTGTCGACTTGAAATGCCTACAAACAATGCTATTGATCGCCTCTTCGATCGCCTATTGCGCCAGAATGATAGTCGTCCATATCAGACCTACTTTTATCAACATGCATGTCCGTTCTGAACACGTTTGGCTCAAGATACCCCGCGGCTAATCATTCCGCCGCTACTTCCTCGACAAACGGCGAGCTGACAGCTGGCCGAGATTGGTCCCAATTCGCTCGGTGTATCAAACAGCACGGGGCCGAAATATTAAGTTTCGTCCGGCGATTTTAGACGGGATGGTGGATCAAACGGGGTTAATCGTCGGCGTGCAGGCGGACGCCCTCCGAGCTAACACCCCGATGCCGCTTTGAAATTGGAGTTGCGTCACTATCCGCGTCAAACATTCGCCGAAAATAGACACCCAAGGGCGTAAGGTCTCCTTAAAACCAGCTCGGCGTCGCTTTCAATTGTTAAAAAAACAACTCAGGCGCGTTCAAAAGTCTAAGGCTTGCTTTTCTGTCTCATTCTCGTCTACTCATCAAATCACAATCGCCCAAGATGTTCGACGGCTTCCAACCATTCACAATCACCACCCAAACCTCCCCGCCGATCACTATTCACGGCATTAAGAGCGGGGATTCCGCATCACCCCTCCCGCCCTTACTCCTCATCCACGGTTTCCCTCAAAGCCACCACATCTGGCATCGGGTGGCAGAACGAATCGTCGACAAGTATACGGTAATCGCCATTGACATCCGCGGCTACGGCGCATCCTCGAAGCCCGGCGATGTGGCATCTTACGCCAAGAGCGCAATGGCGCGCGACTGTATCAGCGTGATGGACCACCTTGGTTATGAGGGAAAGTCCTTCTTCGTCTGCGCACATGATCGCGGCGCGCGTGTTGCGCACAAACTGGCAGTTGACTTTCCCGATCGCGTTAAGAAGGCCATCTTCCTCGACATTGCCCCGACTCTGGTCATGTACAAGACGACAAATTTCGAATTCGCAAAGGCATACTTTCACTGGTTCTTCTTGATCCAGCAGGAACCTCTACCAGAGACATTGATCTCAGCCGCGCCAAGGCAATACGCGGAGATGTTCATGGGGGGCAGACAGCCGAGGGGATTGGAGATCTTTGAAAAAGAGAATTTTGATTACTATGCAAGTGTCTTGGAAGACCCAGCAGCGGTGCATTCTATGTGCAACGACTACCGCGCTAGTGCGACGCTGGACTTGGAGGAGGCAGAGGCGGACCTGAAGGCTGGAAGGTTGATTCAATCTCCCTTGATGATACTTTGGGGCAAGTATGGTGTGATTGAGAAGTGCTACGACGCGGTGAAAGAGTGGCAGGATGTTACCAGCAAAGATGTGACGGTGAAGGGACATAATGTTGAGTCTGGGCACTATATTCCTGAGCAGGCACCTGATGATGTTGCTGAGACTATTTTGGAGTTCTTCAAGTAGAATCTGGAAGATCCACTACAATCAATCGAAGATGAAGGTGTCTCAGAAGGCTTTCGGTATTGAGGCAGATATCTCTGACTATTCAAGCATGTGACCGGTAGGCGAAAATCAGTTCAAATTATCGGGATTGTGACATGGCTCACCTGGTGGGCCTACAATCAACCCTAAGCGGATATTACGTCCCGAGTATAATCAGGTGCCCTGAGTCTTGACACTCTGAAGAACTCCTAAGAAACAATCTACAAGATGTTTGTCGGGGCCAACTGAACCCACCTATCTCTTCCTAGACCCTTGTCGATGTTTTCTGCTAGCGTCATCAACGACTTGCCTTCAGATCCACAGCATCCCCGTCTCAAAGCGGGTTCATCTCCACGGCGTTGTGGCAGAGTGGTCTAATGCGCAAGACTAGAAATCTTGTTCCTTCGGGAGCGTCTGTTCGAATCAGGCCAACGTCGATGCCAACTTTTTGACATCATCTCGGATTCTTTTGGTTCTGAGTAATAACAGAAGCCTTTGAGCTTTTGCGTGAGCTGCTTCTTCTTCGTCCCTAATTCTTACTTTCCGAGTGCCTGGAATGAAAAGCCTCGACCGACATCATCCTCGTCCTCGGCGACGAAAGTGCTTGCACCAATGTAGTGCGCCCTCCCGCTCACCTCCACTCTGATCCCCTCCATCTTACCAAAGTCAATCTTTTCGACCGGCTTGCCAACAAAAGCGCTCTTATAGCCTCCTTGAGCCCTCGACACCAGACTGTGATATGCCCAACTCTCCCCCAGCTGTCGTTCTCCCTTTGCAACTGCCACGGCAACGCGCGCTTGGACGACTGAGCCAGTGGGACTGCGATCAATCTGGTCTGAGAAGAAGTATAATCCTGTTTCTGCGCCTTTGCATCCTGGAGCGACAGGCAAGTCGTCCCCGCTGTCGGCATCTGTGACCATGACGCCATATATAGACTGAAGGCGCTTGTCATCCGGCAGTGTGAGACGAGTCCGTAGAAGTTGGTTCGAGTTGAATGCTTCTTTCAACTTATCTGCGGCGTTTTTGAGAGCAGGAAAATCTGGCTTCGCGAGCGATGGTGAAAAGCCCAAGGCCGATGCCGCGACGATGATGTAAAATGCACCGCCATAACCAACATCGATAGTCACACTGTCTCTGCCATTCATCTCAGCCCATCGGAGGTTCTCTGGGATGTGGAACGTGAGGTCGGTAGCGATAGCGAAAGTGGGGATCGAGAGGAAGGTAACCGGCCTGCTTGTGTCCGTCCTCCAGCTACCGTCCGCCTTCACGGCAGGGACCTTCATTTGAACGATGCCTGCCGGCACATGGAGCCTAACTTGCACTTCATTCGCCTGGTTATCGAACTTCAAGTCTTTGCGTCGTGGGAAGATAGTCTCGTCGGTACAGTCGACAAGGAATCTGCCGAGAGCGATCGTGGCGTGTCCGCACATCATCCCGTACCCCTCATGAGTGAGAAACAGGGCGCCCATGTGTGCCTCTCCAGAGTCCACTAGCTCGGTGCGTGGTCTCAACACGGCGCTGTACATGTCTTGGTGGCCGCGAGGCTCGTAAACGAGACTGCGCCGTATGTGGTCATGCTTCGATTGGGCTTGGCTCCGTTGCTCGAGAAGTGTGCCGCTGTCGGAGCATCAGCAAAGATTGAGGCATTTGGCTGTGCGGGTCACATACGGGATATCTGGGTAGCCGGCATAGATGATCCGCGCCGGCTCACCCGAGGTGTGCATCTCGACGGTGCGGATCTCAGACTTGACGAAGGGTCGAATGAATGAAGGTAGACTCATTGTGGCTTATGATGACTGGCTAGTAGAAGCACCGATACAATTTTTTGTCGGACTCTGGAATTGAAACTGCTGATGTTTGTGCCAAAAAGACTTGCCTCAAATGACGCGAGCATCGCCGCCAGCTGGCCCCTCCATGATTCCGATTCGGGACCCACTTCCCGGCCACAAGTGCCGATGTCGGGATCAAGACGGCCGTTGGCCCGGCACAAGGCCGCCCACCCTGGAATCCCCATTGAAAAACATGGTCATCGATTCAGACAATTATGAAAGCCATCGCAACCACCCTAGCAATCACTATCCTGAGGTTATTAGAATAATTATATCGTGAAGTTGGTAAAATGCTGGAGTTTGGGCCGAATAATTTCTACGTATGATGAGACCAGTTAAGACTTAAGAGAGCGATGAAAGCCATCACTCTGTGTCTTGATTAGGTATTTACATTTGTTTTTTTGTTCTCGGTGTATACTTTTCAAAGAAATTCTTTCGAATCTGTGCAATGTTTCATTTGGGTCGGGCGAACACTTGTTTCCTCCCTGAGAAACTCAGAGTGACTCTGCATCGAGCTCTAGGCCCTCGGCTGCTTGCGTTCTCTCTGAGAGCAACAGGACAAGACAAATGTCGATTGAAATCAGTTCTGTGACTGGTGGCATTGTTGGTGTGTGCTTCGAAGTGCTATGACCGTGGGGTGGTTTCAATCAGTTCAGTGGCTATGACCTACCGTTTGTCTCAATGACTGGGCGAGACAGTCAACGCGCGTCTTCAGACATCTTCTCAGAGAACAAGCCCGTTGAAAAACCAGAATCGCCTTTCAACTATCCAAGATGCAGGAATGTCTCTATCCTCTTGCTGCCGGACACATTGACATCGATGAGAAAGCGCGACCGCTGCGAAATGAGTGATCCTATTCAACGACGATATTGACGAGGGCAGCCGAAGATGGGTAGCCGTGCTCATTACGGCGAAGAATGGGATAAGGGTTGATTATGAGAGGCTAACAATCACATTCAAAGGCTGAACCTGAGAAGTACCTCGCAGCCGTTGTAGGACCAAGTCGACCTTCGGTTTGGATATCAACATCAGACGAGTGCGCGCTCAGGCAAAGACGCCGATTCGGCAGCGACCACAACTCAATCTCTCATCAGAACTTTCAGAAATCTGCGATGCAACGCAATCTCACTCTTCTCCTCGGTGACTGTCAACTAGCGCAGGATGTTACGACACCATGGACTCATCTCGGCCCCAGTTGATGAGCCCGGAATGCCATATCCGGTGTCAAGGCTCCCCGGAAAGTCAAAAACGGCAAACATCGGATTTTCGAGCCTCTGTATGGAAATACAGAACCAAACCATTCCTAATCTTGCATTATCGTGCCGGAGAATATGCAAGCTAGTTCGGCTCATGTTCTAAGTCTTCGACTTGACACGGGTGCACGGGTGCGTTAGCGCAGCTTACGACCGAGACCCCCAGCCAAGTGACCGCGGTATCATTTCAAATCACATTCTCAACCATCTTTCTCTGCGTGCCATGGTGGTGTACTAAGACATCCATAACAAGACGTTGAGAATTACACACAATAGTGCCAACAGGCAAATCTCTTAGTGCCAACCTCATCCCTAACTTGAGCCATCCATCAACCCCGATCCATGGTTCATCTCCTGAACGACCCCTATTCAGATTTATAGAGATGCTGAATACGGAAGCATCCATCGCGACTTTCAACTCGCTGGAGGTTGCCAAAATAGTCTTAGGTTCTTCGGCAAGCCGTCCGCCGTGTCGACTTCTCAGCCCCATCCTCACAGACTCACGGCCTACAGCAAAGTCTCAATCTCTTACACCATCTCACCTACTTGCCCCAGTGACTGAACGCCTAGAGCACACAACACCGTCATCAAAGCCTCACCCCCACACATACGCGGTCCTTCAGCTGATCCTTTCTAGCCCTGCAACGCCGCGGATCATCGCACCCACGTCTCGCCGTTTACAGCCTAGCCTCCCACGCTCATGAAGGCCCCCTCGACCACTACATGCAGTGAAAAGATCTCCCTCTCCCGCCATGGCACCAACGCTCGAATATAACCCTCTCACATAATACCTGCTTCTCTCCCGTCCATCTCAAATTTCACACCTGCAGCTCGCGCCCGTGCCCATTCCGCCGCCAGCCCAATGAGGCCGCGCCGGCCTCGTGCCCACGATGCACACCCCAACTCTCCATCTCCTCGTCTGCCTCACCGCCTCCCTCTCTCCCAAATCCGTGTTCGCATCCGCCGTCCGTGACAACACCTCCCCATCCCCGGCCTTCTCCGCCCCCTTCCTGCAAATCACACCGGCCCCGGACCCTTCCCACGTCTCCCGTCGCCTGCACCTCCTCAAACCCCGCCAAGGCCCCCCGCGCTCGCCGGACGGCAAGACGGGCTTCATAGGCTGGTACACCTTCTCCGACGCCTGGGTCTCTGCGACGTGTCCCTCGGACGACTACTTCGCCGCCGACGAGACGTACGGCGTGTGCTGCCCGCGAAACACGCCGTACTGCGACCTGGCGACGGTCTGCGGAGGCGCGAGTAACAATTTCGCCGTGGGGCCGAGCGGGCAGGCTGACTGGTACGCCTAACTCCTTGACAAACCTGTATGCGTGGCATTAATGAAAGCTTGCGATAGCGGACCGACGAAGAACTGCGACACGATCACGGTCCTCCAGACCAAGGGAAGCGACGACGCAAAGCGGATCATATTCTGCATCGCCAAGTCGGACCAGTATGTCCTGCCGATGACCTGGTACCGGGTGACCTTTCCTCGTGAGTTTCAGTTTCGGTTTAGACTTCGCATACAGCTGGAATATGTCTGACGCAGTGAAGTTCTCGAGGCTACGGTGACCGTGACGGAGAGCACGACAGTGACAGCGATCATTCAAGGCGGCAGCTCGGCTCGTGGGTCAGACGGCTCGGTCCATCCTCCGCCGGTAAGATGGGGGCTGGCTGTGGGCTTCGTCTCTGTCTTGATGTTGATGGCAGCATGAAGTACGTCCGCGAAAACGACGGCATCTACGGGTCTCATATTAAGGTGATTTTGAGGGGAGAGCGATCCGAACTGTTGAGAGCGAAGCGCTGCAGTATTGAAGGTCGGGGTTTCTCAAAAGAGAGCAGACACAAGAGCTTCACCAAGCAATAACGTCAGGATTCAAAGCAGTTGCATAAATTAACTTCCCACCATGGATATGTAGAGACTTGGCTTCAAAGTCCACAGTTCGCTTTGTACAATACAGCTATATTTTTTCACGAGGCCTCTCAATTCTTCCGCGTCTGCCTTAACAAGTCGGGACCATGGTTTGCCAGAGTATGCTAGATAAGTGAATGGCCAAATCAATAATGACTATCGTAGAAATAAAGACATCGATAGGAGAGAGCATCATAATAACAGAGACAGCGATGACAACGGCAGGGGCAGGGACGACGGAGACAGAGACAATAGCGGCAAAGAAGAAGACGACGACAACGACGGGGACAAAGGCCTTCTTCACAACTTCTCGGAGCAAATAATGCCCCAACCCATGAATCGAAACGTACTTCGATAGAAAAGCCAACTTGCTTTTAGTGCAACGACACCCATTCACGTCATCCGTCATCTCTCCCTCCGTGTCCTCCCGTCCCCGGCCGGACCCCGTCACCGCGCCGCCGCCACGCCCCACAACACCAATCAAAGCTTCGCACCAAACCCCCGGAGCCGAGGGAGCCCTCGACCACACATCACCCATTCATTCCCTTCTGCCACTCCCCACCACCTGGACACCAACCACAACCAGCAAAAAAAAACCCATCAATCTGCAGGCAGCAATCACATTTTTTCCTGCTCGATCAAAACACACATAGCTTGATTGCTCTTCACCAATGTCTTCTGCAACCCTACATCAGCCCTGGACCTCGGAAAGAATCCAGAAGCTTCATCAAGCTTCATCCGAGAGACACCCGACCGACTCAAGATAGTCTCGGCCTGGGCGCAACGCTCATATCCGAAGTCCATCTCACCACATATCACGCGACTCAAGCAGCATCAATCCGATGTCACATCAATCGATCCGACCTCCCGCTCTCGGCGTCGACCCGGGATCACCCAGTCTCAGGACGGAAGTTTCTGCAAGCGCTGACTCAGCTGTAGACCCAAGACGCAGTCGGCATCGACGATGCCGTTCCATCGGCAAGCACCCGCGAGTCGTCCGTCCAAGATGAGCGACGGCATCACGACCTCACTACGACAATGGGATGAAGAGTATTATTATACATCTTATTCTACAACTCAAACCGCTAGCTCGCCGAATCATGCTGCTAGCAAATAATGTGGATGCTCTCAAAACGCGGCATCCAGTAACACCGCAAATCAACGCCTTTTTCATCTGTCTCCGCAGCCACTTCTCGGGCGCAGACAATCGGCTTCAAATGCGGTACCCGGGAGGTCATGATTTACTGAGGCCGTGTCCAAAACATAGGACCAGCCTCTCTTGCCACCCTCCTGGGCGGATGAGCCCCGCGGCGTGGTTGACATGAGCCATGTAGGACGCCACACCTTCCAGACAGGTAGGTTATGCTGGCGTCGCCATCCTCTCTCCTTCCCCTCCTGTAGATTCGACATAAAACGCGCTGCTGATTACGCGCAAGCAATTACTCCTCCTCAGAATCAGAAGACTCGCTGTCCCCATGAATCGGCGCCTCGTCCGCACGACCGGCACTACCTGGTCGCTCGTGACCGTCGTCGGAGCCGCCCTTGCTGCCGTACATGTTGCGTAGTCTTTCGAGCTCTGCTATGCGCGCTTCTTGCTCCTGGGCATTCATCGGCTTGTTCTTTTTGGGCTTGCTGGACTTGGACGCGCCTTTGGCAGGCGCGCTGTTCACCGGCGAGGCCTCACGAGCAGATGCTGCTGCCGGGGCCAAGCCTGAGCCAAACGAGGGCAAGGCCTTCTTGCAAAGATCCCACAGCTTGTGCAACGCTTCGTTGGTCAGCTGATCTATCTC